ATCTCTGCGCTCTGCCTTTGTCCTTCCAGAGGCTGTGGCCCTGACAAGGACCACGTGTACCTGCAGCTGCACCACCTCCCCCCTCAGCAGCTTGCCACCCGCCTGCCGGGGATCTCTGAGACAGCCATGATTTTTGCAGGTGTCGATGTTACTAAGGAGCCTATCCCTGTCCTCCCTACAGTCCACTACAACATGGGGGGAATCCCAACCAACTACAAGGGCCAGGTGGGCACCACAGACTCCCGTCACCGCCTTCTATAGAATAATCTACACTAGCACTTGTCCAGTTTCCCTTCTTGCAAAATGAAGGCAGAATAAAAATGTGCTGCAGTAGAAACTCGAGGTTAGCAGAAGATGGAAACGTAATTCAGTTTCTCTGTTCTGTTGGTTTGCGTTCACCATGTGTAAAAATTCCTTTTTAAACTTAATACCCCAAAACGTGCTTCCCAGTAGTTGATAGTTTTTATCCACATTTTAGGGAGTTAAGTGAACTGGAGCTGCTTTTTAAAAAAAATTGTATTGAGTGTCTACTTTACGGCTAAGCACAGTCTTGCTGTTTTAGGTCATTACTCACAAGGACGGCGAAGATAAGGTTGTCCCTGGACTCTATGCTTGTGGAGAAGCTGCCAGTGCATCCGTCCATGGAGCCAACCGACTGGGCGCAAACTCTCTCCTAGACCTGGTGGTGTTTGGTCGGGCCTGTGCTCTGACCATAGCTGAGACTTGCAAGCCTGGTATGACTAAAGAATTACTGTGTGTGTCAGACCTAGGTGTGGGGCGCCATAACGGGGATCTTGGAAAGACAGGCACACAGATGCAGGTGTAAAGTAAAAGCACTGCTGCTTTTGTTGCCAACCCTCCTCCGAATTGTAGTTAAACTTTAACAAACCTTCTCTAGAAACATAGCTACATAGCCAAGTAGCTAAGGTTCATACCAGCTTTCTTTTTAATTCAGTGCTCTGACCCTTCCCAAAATTCACGAGTTCCATGGTTGGGTGGAACTCCTCCTTCTTCTGGTACAGGTGCATAACAGCGGATCTGCTCTCTTCTCATAGGGCAGGTGTTGACTGACCCTGGAAACCTCAGCTTCTGGGCTTGAAGTATCACATGATCCATTGGTCAGGTGATGGAGGATGCTAGGTCATCCCTCATTGCTCTCTGGACAGTGTGGTTCACATAAGAACCTTCATCTGCTCCTCATCTACTGCTCTCACACTTTGTACCTTGCAGCCTTCTTTCACACATGTTTATTTAAGTAAAGATCCATTTAAGCATATTATTATTCAAGAATCTTAAAATGTGTAGTGATTAAGTATATTAATCTGTCTTATTTTTGGATTATTATAGGAGAAACTCTTCCATCACTCAAGCCAAATGCTGGAGAGGAGTCTGTGGCCAATCTTGACAAAGTGAGATTTGCAAATGGCAGCACCAGAACTTCGGAAATCAGGCTTAATATGCAAAAGGTGTGTAGCTGTAATAATGAGAAATACATTTTTTCATTGAAATGATTTGCTTTTCAAATCAGAAGTCCATGGAATGAACTTTTTCAACTCCTGTCAGGATTCTGAGTTAAACTCAGAGAACACTTCTCTTTTCTGTTCTTTTTGCCTCTTTTTCAGTGCAGGACATTCTTTTGATTTTTAGAACGCACCCATTAGCTCTTCTAAGAACTAATACTAAAGCAGCAACATCTTTTTTGCATTGAGTGTGACTAAAATCCCGTGCACTATCTAAATGAGGGTTTATGAACACACTGTAAAATATAATAATGTTTGCCTTTTTTATTGCTTATTTTACTTTTTTTTATTGCTTCCCTACAGAGTCTAAAAATGAAAATATCAACATGATCATCCATTTTTACAAGTAGCGTTTTTTTTTAAATGTCTTTGAATAAGAAGTGTTATTGTTAAACATTAGAATAGTTTTGCTAATGTGTGCTGACAGGTCATTGTTGTTGCACCACTGCCTTCAGAAAGGATATTGAACTAGTTGCTAAATACTATGAATTACCATGGCAAAATGTAATTAAGATTACAAATCCCACAAATACCTTTTGACAGGAATGGGCTTGTAATATGGTTCTGAAACTATAAATGTCTAAATTTTCTTGTGTGAGATTTTTTACAATATCAAATCTGAGATGTAGTCAATATAATTTCTTATAGAAAAGAAAGCTCTTCTTAAGGACATTGCTGGATCCGTGTTAAAATCCAGGGTGCAGCAATTTTGTGTTGAGGATGAACTGTAGTTCTCGTCCTAGCCCTGTGGTTGCTGTGTGAGTGAAGTCTGTGCCTGTGCTCTTTGCTCAGACAATGCAGGCTCATGCTGCAGTGTTCCGTACTGGCCCGGTCCTCAAAGAAGGCTGTGAGAAACTGGATGCGGTCTTCAAAAGTATGGATGACATCAAGACCTTTGACAGAGGTAAGTTTCATTTTGCAAGGGGCTTGTTGAATTATGTAGGCTAAACACTTCTCTTGGCTTCCGTTACTGGAAAGATAGGCTTTTCGCCCTGTTTTTTTATTTCTTAGATTAAACCTTGGCATTCATATTCTGATACCTTTGTTGGTATGATAATTAGTTTTACCTCTGCTGAAGTACCAGACAGTGCTGTCCACTTATTGCTGATATTGCCATTAAATCCTTTGCTGCTTCCCCTTCAGGACAATGAGGAAATCTCTTAGATGTACAAAAAATGGCACAGAAAAGTTTGTCAATGTGGAGATGATAATTATGTAATATTCCGTCTTGTACTTTTGAAACCTTTTGAAGGTTTAGTAGGTTTTCCTGCTTAAAATCAAGACAACATCACATAGCGTGGCAAACAAAAACTAATCTTTGCTAAGGCAGTATCCAGATTCACAGAGCAATTAATTTCATGGGGACAATTGGATATACTATTGTAATTTGCTTTATACATATGTACTGTATATACTATTTACTATCTTTATTTTGGACTCAGCTGTGCCACACAACAATTTCAGACCTGCAGTGCCACCCATCAGAAGCAGCAATGGAGAAAGTAGTAAAAATCCATTGGTGGATTACATCAGATCCATTTCTACTCCTTAAAGGAAACCTAATGAAAATTAACCAAATGAGAGTGCAGTGTCTACAGGAATAAGGTGGTACATAGGTACATAAACACAACAATACATAGAATCAGTATTTACCCAGATGGGGATTGAAATGGAGCCAAGACTATGTAATCAGATGAGAGTTTGAAACCATCTAATATTCATTGCAAAATGCAGCAAATGTGCAGTTGATTCAGCAGACACACTATTAGCTTGTGAATTTCACACAAGATCCTTTATTGATAAAATGTTAATTGGTGTAATGATTTTACCAAAAAAGTCAGCATACCTGCTCCAAAAAACATTTTATTCAATATGAATTATTTAGTGAATGTTTGTGAATTTAATAGTTATAAAGGAAGTTTTATTGGATGCTTAGTATATTACAACATTATCTGCTATTCTACCTCAGTTACACTCATGTCTGTCATTTTTTACTAAATATTAAAAAACTCATGTAGGTTAATCATTTTGAGTTTCTAGTTAATAGATTTTTGTCCTAATTTAGGAATCCTTTCATGTTGAAATGTTACCCATAGCTGGTGGATTTTCTATCTTGGCTCTGGATTTGGTCACAGATACAGTTTAAAATAATTTTCTTTTTTAGTTTTCTTTTCTTTGATTCTGAAGCTTTGAGACTCTCCGTTATGGCTGTTTGAGGGATAAAATTACGGGTCTATGTGGTGTTTATTTAGACAGTTTACTGGTGGTGAGCTTTGGGAGCATTGTTTTATTTCCATTTCTACCAGCTTTTGTCCGCATTGATTAGAAGAATTAACTTAAATCCCTTCTCCAGTGGTTTGATTTTCAGATTTACGTCATCAATATACACTTCTAATGTTTACTTAAGCGTCAGTCCTGGGAACAGGATTTAAATATTCAGACATCTGATTATCTATAGAATGTGTTTTTCTCTCTAATATATTCGTTTTCCCTAGGTTTTGTTTAAAATGGTCCACTATTTCAATTTATGTAAAGACAGTTTGGCCAGGGAAATCTCCTTCAACATTTGTACACAAGTTCTTTCTGAACCTCTGTTTATTTTTTCATTTTACGGACAAAAGTAGAGATCAGTTGCCATTAGAAAAGATCATACAGCTTGAGTAAGAGTCCGATCCCACCTTCAAGTAAATTTGGACTTGATGCATCAGGGCACAGACGCGTATAGAAATGTGGGAGACGATATTTTGTAGCTCAGTGACAGATACTGTAACTGTTTCAATCAAGGAAGCCATATCTGAAAACTAGGCATATTCCATGGAGCTTATAATAAACCTAAGTCCCAGTGCAATAAAGCGTGCCCCAGTGCTGCTGAGTTGGTGTGTAGAGATGGTGGGATTTAAACAAGAAGCAGTTTTTCTTTGACATTAAAGGGACTTTGCTGATTGGGTTGAATGACGGAGGGGGTGTTCTGTGTCCTCAGGCATTGTGTGGAACACGGACCTGGTGGAGACTCTGGAGCTGCAGAATCTCATGCTGAATGCGCTGCAGACCATCAACTCAGCTGAGGCTCGCGAGGAGAGCCGGGGGGCACATGCCAGGGAGGACTTCAAGGTGCGCTGCCTGTATTTCAGAACCAGACCGCCAACGGGGGCGCTGCCAGATCCCATATATACCCACAGACACCACAGGGCCTGGTTGGATTAACAGGACCACATTCTGGAACAGGGCTCAGGTCTTGATCTTGACCTCTCTTGTGCTGAAGTAAACGGTTTATGGCTTAATATGAGCTCCAATTCTGAGAAATGTCTTCTGTAGAAACATGTAGACACACATAGCACCACATTTTACTTAAATGGGAAGAGGTATGCAAATGCTATTTAACAAAATATACATATAGTTACATATAACTGACAGATGAGTTTGATATTTCCAGCGTTGCAATGATAACAGTGTGACTATGCTATGTTTGAAAAACAATCACTGTGTGATTGTTTTATTTTTTCTGATTGAGATGGGTGATCAATACTCATTTTGTTAACAAGTATATGTTGACTTTCAGGACCGCATTGATGAGTATGACTACAAGAAACCACTGCAAGGACAGCAGAAGAAGCCATTCAGTGAGCACTGGAGAAAGCACACTTTGTCATATGTGGATTCCTCTGGGAAGGTAAAGTAATATTGCTGCCTGGGTTCAGAATTGACCCCAGGTTCAAATCTGGAGTGCTGTCTGTGTGGAGCTTCCACTTTCTCCTTGTGTTCATGTGGGTGTCCTCCAGGTGCTCCAGTTTCCTCCCACAGTCTAAAGACATACTGGAAGGTTAAATGGCTTCTGGGAATATTGGTCCTGGTGGGAGTGTGTGCACGTGTCTGTTCTATGTGTGTCCTGTGATGGACTGGTGTCCATTCCGGGGTGTGTCCTTCCTTGCGCTTGTTGCTTTCTGACTTTGGCCCTGGCAACCTAGGATTGGATGAAGTGGTTAGAAAAGGAATGGATGGGTCTGGAAACGTGCTGGTTCCAAAGTCTGGTAATTCATTAATTTGGAGATGAGATGTATAAAGCACT